TATCCAGAATAGCCCTGCTGGCATTTGAACGCCCAATTTTGCCGATTTCAGGATCAAAAACACGCCTTGAATTGTTTGGAATATCAGGGTTTGGCATCTACTTCGCCATGCATTTTCCATGGCATACCTGTCCTTATCTTGTAAAACCTGGCTGTGTTTCTTATTCCTGTCCTTGGGATTTTCTGGATTAGTCTAGGAGCCAAGTCAGCAAAAGTCCAAGGAATAAGGAGTTAGTGTGACACCTTGTCCAGGAAGGATTTTTTGACGGATTTGGAATGGCATAACAACCCGTAACTGATTCCTGAAAACCAGAATGTGCCAAAGTTGTCCGTTCAAGAGTTATGGCCTATTTACTAAAATTGCCATGGTTACCATAGCAACGTACATGTAAATTGCCTCTTTTTAGCTCAAGAGACATGCAATATGGGTCAAATAGATAATGAATGGCTGTCAATGTCATAAGTGAAGATAGAAGTTCCTAAAACTGCCTTCAAAATATTATAAATGTCATCAAAAGTGAATTATTTAATACTGGTGTGGTTTGTACATGTACAATATACACTGTACATGTATTTGGTATTATTATTACATTGTATGTAGAGGTAGTATCGCAGTTACTTATCAGTGGGAAATTGCTGTGTGGTCGCCAGGAGCAGAGCTTGACACTGGCACACAAAAGTACGAAATAAGAACTGTTCAGTATGCTTCACAAACAAGGAATGAATCTGCCCTACATGTAGGTGCAGTGACCGTGCAGAAGGGTGAATCGTCAGGCAAAGCTGTTGCAGCTCTACGCTAGTCCTTTTCTCTATCCTCCAGCGACTATATCTGTCAAGCTGCAGCAAAAGCGCTGGACCTTAAAAGCTGTGAACGCCATCGGATGGAGAGGTTGTAGCACACAATCAATTTGCAGCGGGATCTGGGATACCATCATACCAGGCTGAGAAGCAGCACATGTCTCCTGAAAGAGCTGCCTGGAAGGTGGCTTTGGCTCTACGGATATACATGTAGTTATGGGAGTCTTGGAAGGGGGACGACTCATGGATAGCTCACTGGAGTCATGAAGAAGAGCTGCTATCATGCCTCGTTGACAGATGTAGTCGCTGGAGGATAGAGAAAAGGACTAGCGAAGAGCCGCAACAGCTTTCAAGCAGCCTGACGACTCACCCTTCTGCACCAAGGCCTGGGGCAGATTCATTCCTTGTTGGTGAAGCATACTGAACAGTTCTTGTTTTTGGAAGGAGAGCCAAGGATAAATTTATAGGAAAGAAAAAGGACCATGGAACTGCAAGCTATGCTAGAATATCCACGAACACCACCAGTTAAACAATCACCTTCCCCTCATATGTTATCATAATTTTATACATGTAACTTAGAACCTTCCAAGTTGGAAGGCTGGTGTGGTGCGCATCCAAGATATGCTAGAGCTGTTAGCCAGTTAGTTGTAGAACGTCAGTACCGTCGGTCAGTGTCGTGCAATTGTTATCGCATGAGCTGATTGTTTAGTAACTAGTGGTGTTAGTGGATATTATAGCGTAGCTTGAACTAGTTCGATGGTCCTTTTTCTTTTCTTTAAGTTCTTGTTTTGTACTTCTGCCAGTGTCAAGCTCTGCTCCTGGCGACCACACAGCAATTTCCCACTGATAAGTAACTGCGATACTACCTCTACATACAATGTAATAATAATACCAAATACATGTACAGTGTATATTGTACATGTACAAACCACACCAGTATTAAATATTTCACTTTTGATGACATTTATAATTATTTTGAAGGCAGTTTTGGGAACTTCTATCTTCACTTATGACATTGACAGCTATTCATTATCTATTTAACCCATATTGCATGTCTCTTGAGCTAAAAAGAGGCAATTTACATGTACGTTGCTATGGTAACCATAGCAATTTTAGTAAATAGGCCATAACTCTTGAACGGACAACTTTGGCACATTCTGGTTTTCAGGAATCAGTAAGAGGTTAAATCCATACTGGAAGAGCAATGCACGAATATGGATCCTGATCTTCTGACTGCAATACTCCCTCATGACACACGATTCCCGGAACTATACGGTCTTCCAAAGGACCACAAGCAAAATTTGCCCCTCCGACCTGTTGTCTCTGCTTGTGACAGTCCAGTCACAGGAATTTCGGTGGTTCTCGAACGCATATTGCATCAACTGCTTGCATTTGTCCCATCGCACCTCATCAACACCAAAGACGCGCTAGACAATATCCGCACCATATACCCTGGCCTTAAAGCACCTGCTGGAACGATTCTGGCTACGATGGATGTGGTGGGTTTGTATCCCAGCATACCGATCGAAGAGGGCGTGAATGCCGTTAGTGACGTGCTAGAGCAACACTATAACAGAGTTGATATGCTCGGGCTGAGCGTGACCCAAGTCAGGACACTACTGAAGTTTGTTCTGAGTCATAACTACTTCAGATTTGGCAGACAGATCTACCACCAGCTAGATGGGGTTGCTATGGGGAACAACCTGGCACCTCCATTTGCCATCCTGTTTATGCACACCATTGAGACACGACTTCTTCAGGACTCACCCTTCCAACCTATTCTGTTCAGACGATACATCGACGATATCATCATCCTATGGACACATGGTAGGCAGCGCCTTCTGGAGCTCATAGAAAGATTCAACGCCAGCCACGAACGTATCAAATTCACGCATGAATTAAGTTGTGACAGTGGCTGCATAGACTACATGGACGTAACGATCGCAGTTGGGCAAACCGGAGAGCTGTCATTCAAATTGTTCCAGAAGGCATGCAGTAGTGGCCTACTGGTGGATTATTCATCGGCAGTTCCTCACCACATCAAGTTAGCCGTCGCTCAATCTCAATTCCTAAGGGCACAGCGACTATCGTCTAACCCCATGATGCAAGCCGAGAGCGAACAAAAAATACACAAACAACTGCGCATAAATAACTACCCAGCCAGTATCATATCGGAAGCAAGGGAAGCTGCCAGGAAACCTCGGCGTAGACGACGCGGTAATCCTCGCTCTGCCTTCCTTAAACTACCGTTCAAGTCCGATGAAGTACACCACCATGTGAACAAAGCAATACGGAAATACAAGTTGCCGGTACGTGTCGTATACGAGCACTCGGGCAGCCTCAGGCGTCAACTGTGCCGTTCGGCGCTGTCACCACCCAAGTGCGTAAACGAGCCCAACATTACTGAAAAAAGACGAAGAGGACGTCCACTAGGGCCTTGCATTACCTGTCAGTCTGGAGGCGAACGAGTATGTATGACAAAGAATGTAGTCTACGAATTGCAATGCAAATGGTGCCGGGAAACGTATGTTGGGGAGACGGAACGCTCCTTGGAAACAAGAATTCGGGAGCACAATGGCGAGGCACGCCGTCGCACTCTCGATAAGCCATGGGGTGACCACGTGCGCGACAAACATTCTGGCGAGAGTATAGCTGCTGCGGATAGTGTGTTCTCGGCTGTGTCAGTCCTGGCAAGGGCAGGCGACAGAGCAAGCAGAAAACTGCGAGAAGCTGTTGAAATCCGCAACTTGCGGCCGCAAGTAAACACTAATGCTGGCTGGGCACTACTGTGAATATATTATCGTATCTGGATATTAATATATCACCAATCCCTTTCGCCACCTTTGTAGCTGACACATTTGGCGCAAACACAGCACAGCACAGTATATTTGCTGCTCCTTTGTAGAGTGCACATCATTGCAAACCTGATGAGGGCTATATGCCGAAACGTTGTTTTAACTACGAAAATGTGTTCGAACGTTGCAGTGTAAATAGAAGGGAGCGAGTCCGCTCCATCTGTAATTCTGTATGAAACTGCAGGAGGCCTCACCGCTTCTAGTTACTGGTTGTTATGCTATTCCCAACACGTCAAAAAATCCTTCCTGGACAGGGTGTCACACAGCTCAGTTCTGATGACCCCCTGGCTCCTAGACTAGATGTGGCAAGAAAGAATTGCACGGGGTCGCACGACGCAGGATGTACTGTTACTTTCACAATGTCTTCAAATATGTGGGAGACACCAGAACAGTAGGTTGCCGGTTGTAGATTAACAAACTACAGAGATACCTGTATAAGACGACCGCTCAAGGAACCTTCAAGATGTGGTCTCCGTTACCCAGGTGGTCTCCTTATCCAGGGTCAGTTGACTGGAAATAGCATCCCTTGGTTCCAGTTGCAGTGGTCTTCTAGGACAGGTGATCGCCGTTATCCGAGTGGTCGCCTTGACAGTTTTTACTGTATTGTCTTCTTGGCAGCTATGTGTACTTATCCAGAAAATCCTGTCGACCTTGAACGTCCACATGCCCTTCATTGCTTGTGGACTTTAACCAAATCCAGCCTCATTCAGCTCAAGCATCTTTTCAAAGAGTCAATGTCTGTATTTTAGAAACGACCAAGTCTCAACAGATATTTCCAATCTCGCTCAAAGTGGGCTCCTGTTGTCCCTGGGTGGACCACGTTTGCCAACTATGATGGTTTAGTCCAGAGACCAGAGTTTGATCCAGAGTTCCTTGGATACTGGACAAAATAAAATAGAGAAGATCGACCTAAACTTGTTTTCGTATACCGGCGATCTGACTGGTGCTGCGAACCACATTCACACTTTGCCTTGTTGCTTCTGTGCAGAAATTTGGACAATAACGCGATCTCAAGCCCTCCGGAGGACGTGTTTGAATGGCTAGTCCAACTCAAGTCACTGTGAGTCTTTGGGTTTTACAGTCTCAACTGCAGCCAGAGAATATGTTTAGATCAGGTTTCAGGAATCATTCTGGTAGCAGGTTACGAATGGAGAGCACACGTGTGTGTGTGTGTGTGTGTGTGTGTGTGTGTGTGCGTGTGTGTGCGTGTGTGTGCGTGCATGAGTGTGCGCATGTGTGCTTGTGCGTGGGGGGGGGGGGGGGGGGTGCGTGTGTACATAAGTGTGTGCATGTCCAGAAAACCCCTCTTCCCAAAACTGTGCGGTGCAGATCAGGCAAGACAGTGATGGTCAATTTGTCTGCTTTGCGAGTTGATGACTGGTGCAGTCCCAGCACAAGTTGCTCTGGCTGCAGCTGTAGCATTCCTATCATCCGGCAATGGGTGTCTAAGGCGTGGACACACACACACACACGCACACGCACACACAATTAGCCGCTGCACTGAACGATTATCTTTGGCTTGTGTCTGTGTACCTAAAGAAACCTATGTTGAAATGACTTCTGGTTATTTATTTCTACAGGAGCATGAACAAGAACCAGATTACCAGTCTGGAAGCCGACGTGTTTAGCCCACTGCGTGACCTGGAGTACCTGTAAGAAGGTTATACATTGTGGAGCAAATTGAAGTAGTAAATTCATGCATCCACACCTCGTCCGCACCAGTCTAGAAGAACATATCGAACATTTTCTGAGCCTAAAGACGACGAGCAATTGTTAACGTTTGAACTCCACTTCTCCGGGCGCTTCGAGACGGATCGGGGTCCGGATCTCAGCCCATCCATCCCTAGCTGGGTAACACACCAGAAGCACAATGGATGTGGCACATTTTTCTCTTCCAATGGACTTTGGGAAACCCCTGATCTGGGATGCCCCCGGATAAGATAGGTCCCCGGATCAAGAGGCTGTATGTGTTTGTGTCTACCGTAAAAGTCCATAAATAAGTCCGTAAATAAGTCCGTAAATAAGTACGTAAATAAGTACGTACTTACTTATGAATTTAGTGGTCACACCCATACTAACTTTTGGCCAGGTAATGACTTTTAGAAACAAAATTAACTTTCGTACTGGACTGGTGGGTAGTGGAGAAGTCCTGGACTTGTGGGTAGTGGAGAAGTCCTGTTTCATGCAGATGTACATGCTGCGTGCTGCATGTGCAAACGGTAGCAGTACATATTTCGGCGGGAATTTCGGGCAGTATGTTTATCGGGCTTAACTTGACTTCGAAAAGTATTGGTGTTGTAATGTTGCCATGCCAACAACACCATGGTTGCAACAACATGGCACCTGGTCAGTAATAGACCACACCATAGGTTACCGTTTGACTGCATAAACAATGAAAATGAAGAAAAGGTATAAACGTTCATTGTTTTCAGGGGATACTAGTAGTGCAAGCGGGAAAAGTCTGAAGAAAAAATTGACTGTCACCACCAGGACTCGAACCGGGGACCCTCGCTTGTAGCGTAGCCAGCGATGCTCTAACCACTGACTTATGGTGCAGCCGTCATCCCAGCAGAGACCGATCAAATCTGTCTTCAGACTTCGAAACTCACGCTTCCTGCGAATCCACGCAGGCGGGTGGGGCGCAGCCTACTCTTCACGTACAAACTAGCACGCGGGGAGCCCCAAGTAAAAACAAAGATACGAACCCACAATAAAAAAGTGTCTTTCAAAAAACGATTGTCTGCTATTGTTTGTACGTGTGCTATCTTTCACCAGGTCCTTCAGTGGCAACAAACTTAACCAGCTCAAGCCTTCTCTGTTTCTCAACCTCCTGAACCTGAAACACCTGTAGGCTTAGAATGCTTTTGCTTCTGGTTATAGCTGTAGTTGAGTGTGTAACGTTGCATGGTGTGTGTGTGTGTGTGTGTGTGTGTATGTGGGGTGGGGGTGTTGGTGTGTGTGTGTGGGGGGGGGGGGGTCCTTAGTACAAGCATTTCTGTGGTCATCTCGTGTCATCTCGCAGCATTGCTCGCATCATCGTGTTATCCTACTGTGTTGCATACTGTAAGACATGTGTATATAACGAGGAAGTAAATCTAACGTTTTAACGGGTGACATTTCTTCGTTATAATAAGTTCTGTTGAGGCTGGCGCGTAGACGCGGTACGCTTGCGGTTCATGCGTGCCCAAACGCGCGCTTGCATCACTGTATCACCTCACAGCATTGCATCATGCCTTGGCATTGCGCAATCTTGCGTCACTGCATCAACTCGCAGCATTGCATCATGTCGTGGCATTGCGCAATCTTGCATCACGCTATGCGTGCCGTCTCTTTGCAGGTCCTTTGCGGACAACGACGTGACACTTCTGCAATACGGAACGTTCCTAATGAACACTCAGCTCAGCTCTATGTAAGTTGCACAGTGTCAGATTGCGGCTTGCAGGCTATTCATCCGAATTTGTCACGCTGAACTATTCTGTGTCTGAAACGTATACTGTTACCGTACTTCCGCATATCGCAATGTGGTGACGTTTTCAGGTGTGTGCATAGGGTGTTTGTACCTGAGTCCTGGATGTTTGGGACGCGGTCAACACCAGCAGATGATATGGCAAATAAATTAGGAGCTCAAGTGCGGGGAGCTATCAACATCCGTATGAAATTATCACCTTGGTGGCTACCGCTTATTCGTAATGAAGAAATTTTCTACAAGTGCGCATGGGCTCCAATCGGTTAGAATTGAGGAGCAAACGGGTGGTGAGACCTAGTGTACTCGGCCGACCTGCTGCCTCGGCTTCACAGTGAACTAGATGCTCCAATAGCAAGAGGTTCTTTAAAACGAACTGAGGTTTGTCATGAAAGTGTCTGGTGCCCAAGACTCGAAGCCATCACGAAGTTTGTCTTTGCTGTGTTGTGTCTTCTCTGTGTGTGTGTGTGTGTGTGTGTGTGTGTGTGTGTACATTTCAGTTTAGCTAAGAACAACCGCATGTACGCCATTGCCATCGGCTCGTTTGAAAACCTGCCCCGAGGCGCGTAAGTTCAACCTGCCAGAAACATCCATGGCAGGTGCCCATTGAAAGAGAAGTTATGCTGTTATTGTTGCCTCCAACTAAAGCACTGCCGGGTCCTGAAGACCGGTGCGCCGAAGAACGACCAGGCTAGAATTTCACCCAGCACGGCCTACCAATGTATACACGGTGACTCAACTGTGCATAGCCTGTAATACAGTCAACTTTGCGTATAACGACGCTCGGCGGGGCATCAGAAACGTGTTCTTATTCGCGAAGTGTCCTTATACCCGCAGTCGTTATTAGCGAAGTGTCCTTATACCCGCAGTCGTTATTAGCGAAAATGACTGTACATGAAAATAGGAACGGTCTAGGCTATGGGGCTGACCCCCAACCCAATCCCCACCCTCACCCCCATCCTCACCCCCACCCTCACCCCCACCCCCACCATCACCCTCACCCCCACCCTCACCCCACCCTCACCCCACCCCCACCCTCACCCCACCCCCAGGTCTTTGGAACCCTACAGCACTGTAGACAAAAGCACGTGCATTGCCAGCATAGCACACTCATATCTCTCCTGTCCGGGCAGTCCGAGACCGGGAAATGCACATAACCTGGGAATACCCATGGCTCTGAGCTCAGCTGAGCACATCTAACAAGGCCAAAGCAGCTTGCTGTCCGCAGATTGAGGAACTCGGAATCCCATACATTTCGATGGGAGAGTGCCAGAGATCTGCCATAATGACATCACTATCTCCACAATAATTGGCAAAGGAGTAATAATATTTCCACTCAAAGTTGCCCGCACTGTGCACCGTAGACTGAGTAGAGTACCTGTAACGAACTCTGAATCACATACTCTTCGATGGGAGAATGCCAGAGATCTGGCATATCACGTCACTATCTCCACAAGACATTAGGCAAAGAAGTAGTAATATTTCCACTCAAAGTCGCCCACAGGGTGCCCCGTAGACCGAGGTGCCTGTAGCATTCAGGTCAGGGTAAGAGAGATATGAGCGTAATAAGATAATGTGATAAACCTGTGCCGGATCTGATGTCATCAAGTGGGTTATTTGAGCCAGAGCACGCGAAAAGGGTGCTTAGCCTCAAATTTTGGAAATTGGGTTTTTTAGTGCACCATATACCTGCAAGCTTCACAAATCATTTAAAAAAAAAATTAGTCAAAAACTCCCAGTAAAACCTAAGTTACAAGCATTTGTGTTGGTTGCGGTCTGGCGGTCGCAAACACAAAAGCACGCCTGCCACGCTAGTTGCAACAGATGTAACGGAGAATCATTCTGGACAATATTTTGTCATGGTTTGCCATCTAGCACCAAAGAGCCATGTAAGTATCAGGTAAGAAGCATCTCTAGACCAAACACTTCACACAATTTGTAGTGTTTACGACATTATTAGTGAGGACTGGCTAGTCCCGGCCAGAATATCAATGTGCCGCAAAAGGCAAATCCAGCAATGCATGATAAACATGCAATGGTGGTACACAGTCAGTAAATTACTCGTAGTATAAAGAGAAAAAGGGAGATTAAATTTCAGAGAAGCAAATCTGATTGATTGAGAGAGAAAATTTAAGTTCACAGTGGTGAACGGCTTTGTACGTCAAATATGCAGGGAGAAACACTGGCGGCGTATCAGCACGACCACGTAACGGCGCTGGATGTGGTATACCGAAGTCCTGAACGAACGCTGATATAAATTCCACACATCGTTTCACATCGGCGAAATGGAGGGCATTGTGAGGACGGCGATGAGTATTGCCATGTGTCCTGGGCTCAATACCATGCTGCTCAAAGTGCTTGCGCAAGTTGTCCATGCGCTTTGTGCCGATATTGAATACATGACGGAACGCAGTGACGCACACCGCACACCGGCAGACCTTGAAACGAGTACACAATTTTTTGTCTTTTCCTCTTCCCAGGCTGGTCAGTGTGGGCAGTGTGCTGCGCAGAGGACGACAAAAGCCCAAGAATGAAAATATCGCTCTCAGGCTTCTCAAGCTCGTGCATCGAAAGAATGGACGCTTGAATGTCAGCAGCGCTAAATTTCTCCAAACAATTCTGTTTGCAACAACCTTTTACAGCAGCTGCAGCAGCGGCTTGAGGCTGAGCATGTCCTTGCTGCTCCTCTTCAACAACAGCTTCTTCAGCATCCATGTTCAGGTCCAGAAAATCAGCAGCTAAAGCTGTCGAGTTGTCAGCTCTGTCCAGGAAGTGTTCCAAATTCTCGCTATCATCGTCTTCCTCATCAGCATCGCTGACATCAGCAGCAGCGCCAGTAAAGTCATCATCGTGGCCAGCAAGTACACATTTCGCGTATCCACGTACTTTAGCGTACCCCGTACGTAAATTCATCATCGTCGCCAGCAAGTACAGCAGCTAGTGTCTCATCCACCGTGAACCAACGACGACTGGCCATGTTGAAGACAAGGCTTGAAGCGCATCGAAGGAGAATCAATCTAAAACTTCAAAGCGCGATGAAAAAGCGCTGATCGAGTGCATGCACCCATCCGTGCTTTGCGCAAGTCGATGAACACCGCCAGCAAGTACAGCAGCTAGTGTCTCATCCACCGTGAAACAACGACGACTGGCCATGTTGAAGACAAGGCTTGAACAAAGTCGAAGCGCATCGAAGGAGAATCAAACTAAAACTTCAAAGCGCGATGAAAAAGCACTGATCGAGTGATGCACCCATCCGTGAAAATCAATGTTGCACGACGATGCGTGGGCCGATTTTTGATCTGTGAAAAGTACATGACAGCTGAGTGTGATGGCTATCTCGAAAGCTAAACGAAATCACACGGAATCGCCAGCTTACTAGTGTAAGCCCGCTTGAAATCTGCGTAAGTTGATCGAAATCGTGAAAATTTGAAGTGCAACTTCAAACGCGTTTTTCTCAGTTCAGTGTGCAGTGAGCTAAGCACCCTTTTCGCGTGCGCTGGCTCATTTATAGAATTTTGGGAAATATTCACATGCACGGACGCACACGCGCACACATACGCACACACGCACGGACGCACATCATTTTTGTACTTGCTCACTCCCAAACTGGGCACTTGGGTCTCCCTTTGGGAGATGTATGTGTGTGTGTGTGTGTGTGTGTGTGTGCGCTTGTGCACTTGACATATGTGTATGTGCCTGTGTGTGTTTGTATATGCATGTGCACGTCTGCGTGCGTATATGTGTGCACGCACAGGACCATTGACATTCCTGGAGATTATCTCGAGGCTGCCCCGCGCGATCTTTGCCCCGCACTAGATTACCCGACCAAGGCCTTCAACTTTGTCTTCAACGACCACAGTGCCAAGTACTTCTTGAGATCATGTAAGTAGTGAGCTGTTTGCAGTGGACCTGGTGGACTGTCGGCAATTTGCTGTGCTTTCTTGCCATCGTGCACACGCGTTGGCTGTCGCCGCTACCGTAAGAGTTGAAATTCAAGTGTGACGAGTCTGAAGTGTAACGATTTGCAAAAAATCCCCGCTTTGCTGGCACGAAGTTTGACGACCCTGTCAGCACACACCTGTCTTCTATTTCTCCAGTGCAATGGAGAGAAGGATAAACAAACCGTAATGTCGCGTATTAGGGAGGTTCCGGAGTACGATTTTTCGTGCCAAAATCCGTGGAGGCGCTACGGATTTTTTATACGTCGTTTTCGAGCAGTGAAAAGTTTCGGGGCACGGAACTTATGTGTTTGCCGTCATTGCCTAGGTTACGATCGCAAACACATCACATTCCCGCGCTATGCCTTTTTATTTTGATAATTAGTACCGAAATCAAAACGTCCCGCGAAAAATCGATGTTTCTCGTACCAAATTTGTACGAGAAAAATCTTTCTGCACCCGATGACGCAAAATCTCCATACGAAACATGGTTCGTATGAAAGCCAGTCCACACGGATTCTCCGTGCCGAAAAATCGTATGGAGCACGCCTGTAAAAAATCCGTAGCGCCCATACGGATTTTGGCACGGAAAACCGTACCCCGGAACCTCTCTATTAAAGCCGGGCTTATTCCTGTAGAAGCCGATGTCAGGGCTAGGCTTCTATTCACATCAGGCCTCTATTCAAACCAGGTATTTCTACGTGTGTCAACACTAAAACCAGGCTTATGTGCCGACAATGCATCTTGAAAATCAGGCTTCTATTCAAAACGGGCTTCTATTCAAAACAGGCTTCTATTCAAAACGGGCTTCTATTCGAGATAGGCTTTTGTACAAGACACTATGGTACGTGTAATGTTTCTGGAGGTTAACGATGGATTTTTACGCTAGACCTTGTGCCCAGTTAGAGATTCAACTCATACAGTACACGATTAGATGCGTTTGTCACTGGCATACACTCGCGTATACATGCATGTATGTATGGTGCTCTTGAGCGCTTTGTGAGCATGTGCAAGGATATCAAAATAGTGTTTTTGAGCTCGTGCGCAACATTTCAAACGTGCTCTGGCTAGGCTGGGGAAAATCGTGGAAATTTTATTCTGTCCCTCCAGTTCAGTGCAAACACGTGTTTTGGATAACCGGTTGTTTGGATGAGTCCTACTGTACTTTAAGTAATGTTAACGAAGATTTAATTCTAACGATTTAGCGAATTTACAAAAATCGTTAACATTTCAAGTCGTTCCGTGCAAAACGATATGTACATGTATAATCATTTGTCGGTTTTGAGACAGAATTCGTTAGAATTTCACCTCGCTAACCCACAAAAATCCGGAGATCGTTAACTTTAATTGACGTTAAAATATCTGGTCTTACAGTATCGGCGAGGCCCGCTGGTACTGTACTGGGCACCACCAGTTACTAGGAAATTGCGCGCAACTCAGAACGTAATACCAGAAAACACCTTACAGACACCATCCCCACGTCAAGTGAGATATCATTAAAATGTCGTTTTGGGCCGTTTTTTGTTCATTTTAAAGAAGCCAATCTTTCTGACTCTAGACGGGTCAGTAAGGTACCCGGTAGACGTACGTATCCGGTAGACGCACGTGCCCGTTAGACGCACGTGCCCGGTAGACGCACGTGCTCGGTAGACGGACGTGCCCGGTAGACGGACGTGCTCGGTAGACGGACGTGCCCGGTATACGGAAGTGCCCGGGAATTGGGGCAGTTCACTGTACCGTCAAACCTCGCTTAATTAACCGCACACATCCGCTTTCCACAAGAAATTATCCAGATAGGCGAGGAAATCGGATAACCGAACGCCGATTACGTTGGGCGCATCACGCGTGCTGTAAATCTGCGATCCGCTATTTTCTTCCGGATGATGAGGGATCCGGATAAAAGAGGACCGGGTATGTTTAAAAGTGAGTTCTGACTGTATTTAGATAATTGTATGGGCATGTTTGTCGTGTTTTGTTCTGATGACCAGCCCCAGACTACAAATGTGACCTACCGTGCTACTTATGGCGTCCATGGAGGTATGACATTTGCAACAACAGATTCTGTGTTGGCACCGTGGGCAGCTTCCAGTGCAAACGTATCTCCCGATCACAAGGTGAGTGCTGCTATGTGTGTGTGTGTGTGTGTGTGTGTGTGTGTGTGTGTGTGTGTGTGTGTGTGTGTGTGTGTGTGTGTGTGTGTGTGTGTGTGTGTGTGTGTGTGTGTGTGTGTGTGTGTGTGTGTGTGTGTGTGTGTGTGTGTGTGTGTGTGTGTGTGTGTGTGTGTGTGTGTGTGTGTGTGTGTGTGTGTGTGTGTGTGTGTGTGTGTGTGTGTGTGTGTGTGTGTGTGTGTGTGTGTGTGTGTGTGTGTGTGTGTGTGTGTGTGTGTGTGTGTGTGTGTGTGTGTGTGTGTGTGTGTGTGTGTGTGTGTGTGTGTGTGTGTGTGTGTGTGTGTGTGTGTGTGTGTGTGTGTGTGTGTGTGTGTGTGTGTGTGTGTGTGTGTGTGTGTGTGTGTGTGTGTGTGTGTGTGTGTGTGTGTGTGTGTGTGTGTGTGTGTGTGTGTGTGTGTGTGTCCCATATGGTGCAGTGGTATGTGCAGCGATTTCCAATCGATAGATTGCGGGTTCGATTCCCGACGATTATGGTCACACACGTCTTTCTTCTCTTTCTCAGACTCTTCCTGACTTTTCTTTCATTCTCCTGGGTGGTTACCAACAGCCAGTGCATGCCGGAGTATGTGGTGTGATGTGTGTGCGGGAAAAAAAAAAAAAAAAAAAAAAAAAAAGGAAAAGACCAAAAATAGGGATTCACTGGCCAGAAAATGTCACTCCAAATAGCTGTATGGTGTAGACCAGGCTGAATAGTGACGGTCAATTCTTCAGCCTTGCAAGCTGTTGAATGGTGTAATCCCAGCACAAGTTGCTATGGCTTCTGCCGTAGCATTGCTATCATCGCCTCCGGCGATGGGCGTCAAAGGTGTGTGTGTGTGTGTGTGTGTGTGTGTGTGTGTGTGTGTGTGTGTGTGTGTGTGTGTGTGTGTGTGTGTGTGTGTGTGTGTGTGTGTGTGTGTGTGTGTGTGTGTGTGTGTGTGTGTGTGTGTGTGTGTGTGTGTGTGTGTGTGTGTGTGTGTGTGTGTGTGTGTGTGTGTGTGTGTGTGTGTGTGTGTGTGTGTGTGTGTGTGTGTGTGTGTGTGTGTGTGTGTGTGTGTGTGTGTGTGTGTGTGTGTGTGTGTGTGTGTGTGTGTGTGTGTGTGTGTGTGTGTGTGTGTGTGTGTGTGTGTGTGTGTGTGTGTGTGTGTGTGTGTGTGTGTGTGTGTGTGTGTGTGTGTGTGTGTGTGTGTGTGTGTGTGTGTGTGTGTGTGTGTGTGTGTGTGTGTGTGTGTGTGTGTGTGTGTGTGTGTGTGTGTGTGTGTGTGTGTGTGTGTGTGTGTGTGTGTGTGTGTGTGTGTGTGTGTGTGTGTGTGTGTGTGTGTGTGTGTGTGTGTGTGTGTGTGTGTGTGTGTGTGTGTGTGTGTGTGTGTGTGTGTGTGTGTGTGTGTGTGTGTGTGTGTGTGTGTGTGTGTGTGTGTGTGTGTGTGTGTGTGTGTGTGTGTGTGTGTGTGTGTGTGTGTGTGTGTGTGTGTGTGTGTGTGTGTGTGTGTGTGTGTGTGTGTGTGTGTGTGTGTGTGTGTGTGTGTGTGTGTGTGTGTGTGTGTGTGTGTGTGTGTGTGTGTGTGTGTGTGTGTGTGTGTGTGTGTGTGTGTGTGTGTGTGTGTGTGTGTGTGTGTGTGTGTGTGTGTGTGTGTGTGTGTGTGTGTGTGTGTGTGTGTGTGTGTGTGTGTGTGTGTGTGTGTGTGTGTGTGTGTGTGTGTGTGTGTGTGTGTGTGTGTGTGTGTGTGTGTGTGTGTGTGTGTGTGTGTGTGTGTGTGTGTGTGTGTGTGTGTGTGTGTGTGTGTGTGTGTGTGTGTGTGTGTGTGTGTGTGTGTGTGTGTGTGTGTGTGTGTGTGTGTGTGTGTGTGTGTGTGTGTGTGTGTGTGTGCTTCCCGTCGATTATGGTCACACACGTCTTTCTTCTCTTTCTGAGACTCTTCCTGACTTTTCTTTCATTCTCCTGGGTGGTTACCAACAGCCAGTGCATGCCGGAGTATGTGGTGTGATGTGTGCGGGGGAAAAAAACGAAGACCAAAAGTAGGGATTCACTGGCCAGAAAAAGTCACTTCAAATAGCTGTATGGTGTAGACCAGGCTGAATAGTGACGGTCAATTCTTCAGCCTTGCAAGCTGTTGAATGGTGCAATCCCAGCACAAGTTGCTATGGCTTCTGCCGTAGCACTGCTATCATCGCCTCCGGCGATGGGCGTCAAAAGGTGTGTGTGTGTGCGCACACGTGTATGTGTGTGCCAGTGTGTGTGTGTGCATGTGTGTGTGTGTGTGTGCAGGCGCGTACGCAGGGGGGTTTCCCGTTGCCCGGAAACCCGCCAAATGTTCCAAACGAGCAACGTTTTGGGGCATTTTTGGTAGGGCCCACGATCGATCTGGCAAGAATGCAAAACTTCAACAGATCGCAACTCAGTCAAATCTCGCTCAAATCCAACGATCCAAATATCCAGGTCGAATAGAAAACTCTCAGCTGTCCGTTGAAACAATTTTCGACGCGCTGCGAGCAATGTCTCTTGAGATAAATCATTCGTAAGTAAGTTGAGCCGCGATTTTCCATTTTGAAAAGTGCGCAGTCCGACTGGAGTATCCAGAATTAATATATTTGGGACTTTTCGTCGCGCTGACTTGCTCAATTTTGCAGGGGCTTCACTTGTGATATTTTCAAGAGAACACAGCCAAAAAAATCGAAACTCTGCGATCAAGAAAAACGAAATCGCCGGAGCAGGACGCGTTTGGGCTTTTGGCCAGGACACAGTACAGTCATGTACATATCCAGCGCTATAGCGGTAGAGTGCAGCGACGGTGCGAAAAAATGCCCCAAAGTTTGGGGCATTTTTTCGTTTGGGGCATTTTTTCGCACCGTCGCTTGCACTCTACCGCTATAAATAGCCATAGCGCTGGATATGTACATGACTGTACTGTGTCCTGGAGTATCATGGTCGACCTCATTCTCTCCCTGGTACCTTTCCACTTCCAGGAAGCCCAAGATAATGAAGATTGAGTGAGTAGAACTGAAGTTATGATCCAAAGAACACGAAAGAATGCATAATTCTGAAAAATTCGTAGGGCTCTTTAGAAAGGGTAAGAACGAGCAATTGTTTGCGATTCGGTTGGAAACCCCCCTAGAGGTGACCCTGCGTACGCGCCTGGTGTGTGTGTATGTGTGTGTGTGTGTGTGTGTGGGAGCGCCATTTGAAGCACTGCCTACCTCTCCCCTAACCTCTCTGACAGTACCTCCCTTTGGGGAGCGGCGTGGCCATTTCTGGCAGCTGTCAATAGTAGTAATAGTAGTGTGTGTGTGTGTGTGTGTGTGTGTGTGTGTGTGTGTGTGTGTGTGTGTGTGTGTGTGTGTGTGTGTATGTGTGTGCGTGCGTGCCATATGGTGCAGTAGTATGTGCAGCGATTTCCAATGGAGAGGTTGCGGGTTTGATTCCCCACGATTATGGTCGCACACGTCTTTCTTCTCTGCCTCAGACTCCTCCTGACTTTTCTTTCATTCCCCTTTTTGGTTACCAACAGCCAATGCATGCCGAAGTATGTGGTGTGGTGTGTGTGCCGGAAAAAAGAAAGAAAAAAGACCAAAAAGTAGGGATTCACTGGCCAGAAAAGCCACTTCATAGCTGTGTGGTGTAGACCAGGCTGAATAGTGGCAGTCAATTCTTCAGCCTTGCAAGCTGTTGAATGCAATCCCAGCACAAGTTGCTATGGCTTCTGCTGTAGCATCGCTATCATCGCCTCCGGCGATGGGCGTCAAATGGTGTGTGTGTGTGCGTGCATGTGTGTGCGTGTGTGTGCGTGTGTGTGTGTGTGTGTGTGTGTGTGTGTGTGTGTGTGTGTGTACAAGCGACAAAAGAAAAAAAAATAGTGTTCAACTCGGATACTGAGCTAATAACAAACATCGTGTCAGGTTGTTGAATGTCTCGGTCATCTGTCAGTTTTGTACACAGTTATCGCACTTTTCTGCCTGATCATTATGTAGTGGTAATGGCGGGCAGTCACTTATAACTCGTATCCATGCGTCCGGCTATACTTTTTTACAAATAGTGTGCTTGTGAAATTTCGCCTTTGGTAGCAGACTGAAAGCGCTAATGCTGTATTTTCTCTCTCTTTCTCTCTCTCTCTCTCTTCTCTCTCTCTCTTCTCTCTCTCTCTCTCTCTCTCTCTCTCTCTCTCTCTCTCTCTCTCTCTTTTTCTCTCTCTCTCTCATTTCTTGCTCACTCTCTCGCTCACTTTCTTCCCTTATGTGTTGTACCATAGTGACACACTACAGATGTGAAGAGACAAGCTCAACGCTTACGATGGACACTTCATTTGACCACAGTTACAGTGATGCCGCAAGGCAATGTCGACAGAGAAACAAGCAGCTGGCCAGCGCACTCGAGTACACTTCCGGCTGTGTGACTCATTTACTGGACAAAGTACGCCGCAACCAGGGCCTGAGCTATCGGCCCGTGGCGTGGATCGCACCCAAGTACCACAGTGATCCGTATGCAAGCAACGGCCTCACCTACTACGCTGATCGCCAGCTGAAGCTCGTCTGCTCGGACCGCTCGTGATGGCTGTCGAGCGCACCCCGTCTGCAAGGCTGCATCCCACGCAGTGATTCGCGTACGCAATGGAGTACTCGTCCGGTGAATGGCGTTAACCTGCGCGCGCATCTCTTGTACTCTCTGTGACTGCATAATTCTATAGCCCTCCTCCCCTGTCTTTTGGACTAGTAAAGTAACTTAAGTTTGCACATCCGCGTTACCACCGGCTTACGATTGTGTTGAGAAACACAACCAGCTTGGAGAAGTTTGGCTCGTGCCAGGCCACCATCGTGTCTGATTTTACCAGGGTGGCAGATCCTGTGGCAATGCAGTAGTAATATGCATAGCCCGTGCAAGAGCGTACTTTACAACACATCGCTTTCGCGGCTATGCAACGTGTGTTGCTTGCGGCAGAGCACCACTCGACACGTGTCGTCGCTCCTAGGCAGTCACGCGACCGGTATATCGCGCCGCCGCAGGGCACGTGAACGCACCAACCGCCCGTCGGCGCGGCGTCCAGATACATGTACTGGATACGCCATCGAAGCCGAAGGAAGCGTTCATGAACGACGTGCTCGTAGTCAGTCATGCACTGCTCAGTGTATATCTCGCACGTTGCGTGGCACAATGTGATATTGTACAACCCCGGCCACCATTAAACTCCCCGGATTAATTTATTTTCTCCATTCATTTTTTAAGATAGGCCGTGCCCAAAATTTTGGCAAAATGCCCATTGCAGCGAAGAGGCCATATTTGAGCTGAGGTATTCTAATGCTCATTATTTTTCATATTTGCCGGAGGTGGCTGCTGCTTCTACTGCTTCTTTCTCCGTTTTCTTGTACCACCATGTCTGAATTACAGGCAGTAGAATGCCTTCTCACTAGACCAGGTCTAGTTCTCACAAATGATGAAGAATGTCTATGTGTGTGTGTGTGTGTGTGTGTGTGTGTGCGTGCGTGCGTGCGTGCGTGCGTGCGTGTGTGTGTGTGTGTGTGTGTGTGTGTGTGTGTGTGTGTGTGTGTGTGTGTGTGTGTGTGCAGCAGACACGATTGAGGTGGTGGACCAATTCACCTACCTTGGCAGTGTGCTCTCCTCGGATGGTCTTGCCTGTGCTGATGTCCGCTCTTGCCTTGCGAAAGCCTCAGCTGTGTTCGGAGCCCTCAAAGCTCCTGTCTTTGATAACCAGACCCTGTCGCTCAGACCCTGTCGCTTCGCAGCAAGAGGCGTGTCTATGAGGCTGTCGTCCTCACGACCCTCTTGTATGGTGCGGAGACGTGGACCACCAAGGCAGGCCACCTCCAGAAGCTAAACACGTTTCACCATCAGTGTGTTCGGTCCATTGTGGGTATCGGTCGTCGTCAACAGTGGGATGATCGGATCTCAACGGCCACATTAGCAGCTACATTCGGTGTTGACCCTGATATCACCCGCATCATCCGTCGCCACCGGCTTCGTTGGCTGGGTCACGTCGGCAGGATGGACGACTCACGCGCACCAAAGCAATTGCTGTTCGGCGAGCTGCCTGCCCCCGTCCTCGTCACGGCCCGAAGAAGAGGTGGCGAGATGTGGTGTCGACTGACCTGGCGGACCTCGGCGTGACCACCTGGCTTGAGAGTTGCCAAGATCGTCCCGGCTGGAGACGAGTTGCGAGTAGCACCCCACCGCCACGGCCCGCTCCTGATCCTCTTCTATGTGTCTGTGGACGCCCATTTCGTCGACAAGGAGACCTGAAACGACATGCCAAGTTCTGCGCTCGTGTTCTCACTTGAACTTTCCGACATTCGCTATCATTGCGTACGCAATGGGCAAGATCAAGGTCAAGGTGTGTGTGTGTGTGTGTGTGTGTGTGTGTGTGTGTGTGTGTGTGTGTGTGTGTGTGTGTCTTGACGAGGCACCAGAAGTCCTGCCAATGACAGTGCCCTCCAAACTCTGGCCCCCTCCGGGGGTGACATTGCCCAATGGGCAGTCATGCTATAGTAGTAGTAGTAGTAGAGTGTGTGTGTGTGTGTGTGTGTGTGTGTGTGTGTGTGTGTGTGTGTGTGTGTGTGTGTGTGTGTGTGTGTGTGTGTGTGTGTGTGTGTGTGTGTGTGTGTGTGTGTGTGTGTGTGTGTGTGTGTGTGTGTGTGTGTGTGTGTGTGTGTGTGTGTGTGTGTGTGTGTGTGTGTGTGTGTGTGTGTGTGTGTGTGTGTGTGTGTGTGTGTGTGTGTGTGTGTGTGTGTGTGTGTGTGTGTGTGTGTGTGTGTGTGTGTGTGTGTGTGTGTGTGTGTGTGTGTGTGTGTGTGTGTGTGTGTGTGTGTGTGTGTGTGTGTGTGTGTGTGTGTGTGTGTGTGTGTGTGTGTGTGTGTGTGTGTGTGTGTGTGTGTGTGTGTGTGTGTGTGTGTGTGTGTGTGTGTGTGTGTGTGTGTGTGTGTGTGTGTGTGTGTGTGTGTGTGTGTGTGTGTGTGTGTGTGTGTGTGTGTGTGTGTGTGTGTGTGTGTGTGTGTGTGTGTGTGTGTGTGTGTGTGTGTGTGTGTGTGTGTGTGTGTGTGTGTGTGTGTGTGTGTGTGTGTGTGTGTGTGTGTGTGTGTGTGTGTGTGTGTGTGTGTGTGTGTGTGTGTGTGTGTGTGTGTGTGTGTGTGTGTGTGTGTGTGTGTGTGTGTGTGTGTGTGTGTGTGTGTGTGTGTGTGTGTGTGTGTGTGTGTGTGTGTGTGTGTGTGTGTGTGTGTGTGTGTGTGTGTGTGTGTGTGTGTGTGTGTGTGTGTGTGTGTGTGTGTGTGTGTGTGTGTGTGTGTGTGTGTGTGTGTGTGTGTGTGTGTGTGTGTGTGTGTGTGTGTGTGTGTGTGTGTGTGTGTGTGTGTGTGTGTGTGTGTGTGTGTGTGTGTGTGTGTGTGTGTGTGTGTGTGTGTGTGTGTGTGTGTGTGTGTGTGTGTGTGTGTGTGTGTGTGTGTGTGTGTGTGTGTGTGTGTGTGTGTGTGTGTGTGTGTGTGTGTGTGTGTGTGTGTGTGTGTGTGTGTGTGTGTGTGTGTGTGTGTGTGTGTGTGTGTGTGTGTGTGTGTGTGTGTGTGTGTGTGTGTGTGTGTGTGTGTGTGTGTGTGTGTGTGTGTGTGTGTGTGTGTGTGTGTGTGTGTGTGTGTGTGTGTGTGTGTGTGTGTGTGTGTGTGTGTGTGTGTGTGTGTGTGTGTGTGTGTGTGTGTGTGTGTGTGTGTGTGTGTGTGTGTGTGTGTGTGTGTGTGTGTGTGTGTGTGTGTGTGTGTGTGTGTGTGTGTGTGAATCTGTGTGTGTGTCTGTGTGTGTGTGTGTGTGTGTGTGTGTGTAACTACGACTTGTAGAGAAGGCTTACAGTACCGTCAGGTGCCGAAGAACGGCCAGGCTAGAAATTCACCAAAGAACGATCTAGGCTGGATTTTTTGCAGATAAGAACGGAAACCGTAATGTACACTATAATGTACACTCAGACATAACTCTGCATGAACACAGAGGGTGTGCGCCTTAACCTGCAATAGTGCTCAAATGCCCGGAATGGGCAGAGCGTAGTACGCAAGAGGTACACAAAAAGGAAGTACATAGGGCTGTTTTTTGTTGTGACAACAAAAAACAGCCCTATATACTTCCTTTTTGTGTACCTCTTGCGTAACTCTGCATGAATGTACATGTAAGACGGTACCATCGAATAAGAACGAAACTGCTGTGCTGTGTTTACTGATAACTCAGAAGTAGCGACAAACTCGGCCATTTGAAAATAATCTGAAAATAATCTTTTTGATTATTTTCAAATGGCCGAGTTTGTAAAACCGTCCATCGGGATACTGCGCACTCCACAGCGCACTGCTGTGTTTGGTAAAAATAAGAATGGGCTAGGCTAGAACCCTGATCCCCCCCCCCCCCCCCAGTTCTTCGGCGCCCGGCAGTACTATACCTGCCCTAACCTTGGGTGGTAACACACATTGGGCTAGTTGCTGAGTGTACCTCCGCCATAGGAAGGTCTGCTTGGGGCGGCCCACTAGCACGTATCCACGCTCGTGTGTGTGTGTGTGTGTGTGTGTGTGTGTGTGCATGCGCGCATCTGTGTTTGTGTCTGTGTGTGTGGGGGGGGGGGGGGGTGCGTGCGCCCGTGTGCGTGTATGTGTGTCGCACACACTCGAATCCAGGCTGATCGTTATTTTCACTTCGCAGTGTAGGCCACATGCCATTGGACTATATTGTAGGCACCCATATTTCGGGGATCCGAGTTACATACTATACTAGTAAGTAGTATCAAGAGTCCATAACCCAAGAGTATGCAACTGTGATGATGGGTGCATGCGTGGGACGTGGCGCGCTGCCTTCATTACGTAACTTGCCTTCATCACGCTCTGAAAGCATGCATCAAACTCTCAATTTCTCGCACGAGCCCATCCGTTTTTGCTCGATTCGTTCCAGTAACTACACAATCTCTGAATTCTGGCGCGTGAACTCCAGTTCCGTACGAAAGTTCATTTCAAACTAGAGGGAAAGTGCGGTGTTTGAATTTCCGCAGTGCGCGGACTGCAGCTGAATGATGTAATGAAGGCAGCGCGCCGCGCGGTTGGCCCATACTATTATGGCCATAGAAAAGAGATCACAGTTGCATACTCTTGGGTTATGGACTCTTGGTAGTATTGGGCTACCATACATGTACGCGTGTGAAATGGCAGTGACTACCAGGGAGTCGTAAAATACCGGTATTTTACGACTCCCTGGTGACTACGCGTGTACGGCTGCATGCACGCGCTCTCGCTTTTCAATGCCCACAACTGCACATGCCACACCACATGGGGGCTCAAGCTCGTGCAACCTGTTCCAGGTACCCTCACATACACACACAACCTGTGCCAGGTACCCTCACATACACACACAACCTGTGCCAGGTACCCTCACACACACACACACACACACACACACACACACACACACACACACACACACACACACACACACACACACAACCTGTTCCAGGTACCCTCACATACACACACAACCTGTTCCAGGTACCCTCACACACACACATACACACAACCTGTTCCAGGTACCCTCACATGCACACACAACCTGTTCCAGGTACCCTCACATACACACACAACCTGTGCCAGGGACCCTCACATACACACACACACACACACACACACACACACACACACACACACACACACACACACACACACACACACACACACACACACACACACACACACACACACACACACAACCTGTTCCAGGTACCCTCACATACACACACAACCTGTTCCAGGTACCCTCACACACACACATACAACCTGTTCCAGGTACCCTCACATACACACACAACCTGTTCCAGGTACCCTCACATACACACACAACCTGTGCCAGGTAGCCCCCTCCCCCTCACGCACAGTCTATGCCGGTTGCCCAGTGCAACAACAGCAGCTAGCAGCACACCACCATCGCTGACCAAGATGAAATTAATCGGAGCAAGTTATATCGTATCGCAAGCAGACATACAAAAAATAGAAAAAAGAAAGAGCGGTAATATCAACGATTCCATGCAGTGAGTTCGGGCACCATTTGTAGCCGTTGTCAAGTTCTGCATGTTCACCATACAATAATGAGAAGGTCTGAAAGATTGTAAGCAAAAGATGTAAGCAAAAGATAGGAAAAGAACACACGATTGACAGTGGTACACATCAGTCGCCGCAATGCATGGAGAATAGAAGCGACGCCGCCAGACGCCACACTGCCGTGCGACTCTCCAGGAAGCGGGATAGCATAATAGCGGTGGCAAGAGCAGTGCGCTTTGCAAACGTTCGACGCGAGGTCTCCATGGTGAGGACGCGGCGCATAAGCAGCGAGCACGGACAGGTTTGTGCGGCGTTGCCAGTGCATGCACGAGTGTGTTAAACGGGCGCATGAACGAGTGCCTTAAACGGGCACATGAATGAGTGCCTTAAACGGGCGCGCATGAACGAGTGCCTTAAACTGGCACGCACGGACGAGTGCCATAAACGGGCGCGCATGAACGACTGCGGCAAACACCACTGTGGGGTTATACGGGGCTACAGAAAAAGGTTTCAAATGATACGCCGGTGGGTTAGGCTTGCCAGTAGTAAAAAAATAAATAAATAAAGGGCACACTGCATAGGATAGGCAGCAAACTGGTGATGCCCCACGAGGACAGAAGCACCAGAAGAAGAAGAAGAAAAAACAGCAACTGCTCGTATCCGTGAGCCTGCCTTCCGTAGTGACGTTAGTAGGACAGCATAAGAGAGCGAGTGCTACAAGTGCAAATCAGGTGTACGGGACACAGCGCGGGTAGGAGGGTGAGGGGGAGGGGGCAGGGTAGGGCATTGCACGCGAATAAGCATAATGGAGAAGTTGACAAAGATGTCGATACGACGTTGGAGTTGGAAAACACGGGATGCATGACCAAATGAGCCAAAAAAGCAAGGTAGAAAAATATATATTTCTGATTACGGAGAATAGATTGGAAGGCAAAGACAGACGAGTATACAAATGGGAAAATGGACAGATTAGTAACGTTGTACACATTGGCAAATGGATGGACGAGCCCATGAACAGGCAAATGGACAGACAAACGCACAAACGAGAAAATCGACAGACAGGAACGCAAACTTGAAATGGAAAAACACACAAGCGAGAGAGAGAGAGAGAGAGAGAGAGAGAGAGAGAGAGAGAGAGAGAGAGAGAGAGAGAGAGAGAGAGAGCGATCACGTTGACTGTGTGCGCCAGCATCGACTGTGGGAGCACCCTAGCGTACCACTGTAACTTAGCTATGGTGATTGACACACGCCAGGTCATCACCTAGTTACACGCGGCCGCCAGCCATCACTCACTCCTTAATGTCCTTCTTGCCCGCGTTGGCTTTCGATCGATGGCCGTGCTTATTGCCGCTTTTCAGGAGCGTCGGTGTGTGCGACTTGAACGATTTCGACTTGGACACGGGAGTCCGCTCCCCTTCGGCGGCAGCAGCGGCAGCAGCAGCGGCCGCAGCCCGTGCCTCAGCGCGCCTGCGTATGGCCGCATGCGCACCGCCGCGCGGCTCTTCGCCACCACCACCAGCTGTAGTCTCTGTGGACGGGTTGCCTGCTACGTCGTGTGTGTCCTGTCGCAGTCGCTTCAGGTCTTCCTCCAGGCTGTCCAGGCCAAAGTCGTTGAACGCGTCCAGCATCCCATCAGTACATACAGTGTCGGTGGAGTGTCTCGGCAAGCCCATGTTACCGATCAGGCACTCGGCGCTGTTGCGATGCGCACCGTTCTCATCGCAGGACAGTTCACTCTCCACACTCTTTCGAC